GGCGAAGATGAGTGGGGGGGAACGGAGAGCCCTCAGGGATCTCCTGCGGAGCTGGGGGAGGGGAAGGGGGAAGGCAGAGCTCCGGGGATGGCGGCCCGGAGGGAGTGGGGCTGTGGGGTGGGAGATCCGCAGGGAGACGCAGTGGAACGCTGGGATCCGGGCATGTGGTGTTGGTGACTAAGTGCTTGTTTTTTCCTGTAAGTCAGGAGCCCCTTCTTTTTCTTGACTGTATTTTGTATTGCTTTTCACTTGTAGTTTTCCTGTTTTTTAACCCCCTCTGCCCATTGTTGTGTCCTTCTCTGCAGCCCTGGATTCCACTCTGAGCAGATTCCTGACCTAACCCAGGGCAGCTCTGTCTTTGACATTTGCAGCATGAGCTCCCTCTGCAAAATGTACTTCAGGGAGCTCCCAAACCCTCTGCTGACCGTATGAGAAGTTCTCAGTAAGTACAAGACAATGAAAGCATTTACCCCTTTCCTGGTACAGCATGTCACGTACACATACATCTGCACACCTTTTCTGGTCTTCATTCTGTTTAATTTGGGCTTTTTATAGAGATCCAAAGGGTGAATGGTTATTTTGACATCATCTTCCAGTGGCTAGAATAGCCAGGACTTAGAAAAATACAGCACCTCCCCCAGATCTGCAATGGCTGTGCTGCTGCCTGCTGATCCTCCCTCTTATCTGTGGTTTTCCTTTACAGGACGCAGTTCTTTATTATGGCCAAGTCCCTGTCTTCTCCTTCTACAAAGCTGCTCACACTGGAGGAGGCACAGGCACTGAGGGACGTGGGCAGGTGGGGGGGTGAGGGGTGGGACTTGGTGATCTTAGAGGTCTTTGCCAACATAGGGATTCTGTGATTCTGTGAATCGAGTCACTAATTGGAACGAGAGGTAATCAGCAGCAAACAACCAAAAAGTAAAGCCTCGAGAGCATCATGGAAACACGGAAACACTTGACTGAGATACTAATGGAGCCACAGGCCTGGTGGGGCCAGGAGGGTGGATGCGTCGCCCAGTGCCTTCAGTGGCACCAACACTCCGGGTTCCACTCTGTGCTCACTGCTGTTACTCTCCCCTCTCCAGCATGCGTGCTGTGTGGCCGAGTGGATGATGACTCGAGCACCCAACACGCCGGGTTCCAGCGGGGCTGCGTCCGGCACCGGGCCCCTCACCCTGCGCTGGCTGCAAGAGCCACCGCCCTCCTGCCTGGGTGCCCTCATCCCCTGTGAGGTGTGATGGCTTCACAGAGGGTGGCACGGAACGGCCACTGTGACACACGGGGTGTGAAACAGAGCTAAGGCTGCAGGGCTCAGGCTGAGCTCAGTGCGACCTGGTGAGGTGAGCAGGGAGGAAGGGGCTGCCTTAGGCTGCCGAGTGAGGAGAATTCCCCAGCGCTCAGGGGCCTGAGCTGAGAACTCAGCCTCGTCCCGCTTCTCCCATAGTTTGGCACATGGAGGACGAAGCCCAGAACTGCTGGGACAGAGACTCTGTGAGTGCTGGTCATCAACACACACAGTGTCCATGGAGACACAGGAGGCTACTGGCTCAAGGGAGCAGGGTGAGAGACCTGCACGCAGCTCCCCATCGCCGGGCAGAGGGGTGCTGGGGGTCTGCCTGCTGCAGAGGGGGAGGCGGGGGCACGCAGGGGCTCCCCAGCTGCCACGGGCAGAGCTCCTCTGCTCCTTGGCCGGGGGGGCCGCGGTTGAGATGTGGCTGCCTGCTGGCACCACTGGGCCTGCAGTGCCCCTTCCCCTCCACGGCCTCTGGCCCTGCCCCTCAGCTGGCATGGCCGGCACAGAGCTGCCCCTGTGCTGCCCCTGGGGACACCTGGCGCCGCAAGGCGCTCACTGCTGTTACTCTCCCCTCTCCAGCATGCGTGCTCTGCGGCCGAGTGGATGAAGACTCGAGCATCCTTGGGCACAAAGCAGAGAACGGTGGATTCTATTTCCATACTTTTTGTGTGGTGAGTTCCCACGTGGCTCCAGACGCCTTCCTCCAACCAGTGATTCCCTCCTTTCTGCCCTAACAAGAGCATGCTCGTTTCTCTTGCACAGCTATTTGCCAATGGTCTTTATGAACGTGTGGAAGGCAGTATAAAGACAGGCTTTTGCACAGAAGATCTGGTACGCACAATGAGGCAGGCAGAGCAGACGGTGAGCACCGGACCAGAACAGGGAGCTTTGTGATGGGAGAGCCATGGAGAGCTTAGCCTGGTCCAAAGAAAGCAATCCCAGCCCTTTCAACTAGCTTCAAGAGAAATTCCTGCTCTTGCAGAGGAGCCCTGTTCACCAGGCAGCTCTGCAGAGTGCCACCCAGCCCTGCCCGCATCCTGTGCCCTGCCCAGAGGTGCGGGCTCTGCTGCGTAGGCCCTGGGGCTGCTGCTGATGGGGGCTGCTCTGCTTTCCAGCTCTGCTTCGTTTGTGGCAATCGGGGGGCCAGCATCACCTGTGCAGATCCGGGATGTGACCGCAGCTTCCATCTCCCCTGCGCCTTGGAGGGTGAATGCATCACCCAGTACATTAGAGAGTTCAGGTAAGGGCTGCCAGGTGTCGCCTGCGGGCCTCCAACCTCTGCTGTCAGCAGCAGCCGAAGAAGCGAGGGAACGCGCTGTGACACTCCCAGCAGCCTGACAGAGCCAGAGCCAAGGCCTGGGGCTCTTCCCTGTGCCCTCCTCTGCCCTCCTCGCAGCACTTCTCACCGTGCCCATCCCTCCCATCTTCCCCCAGGTCCTTCTGCTGGGAGCACCGCCCACATCAGGCAGTGGAGGCAACACCAACGCAGGACGCAACCTGCATCGTCTGCATGGACCCTGTGGGGGACGGCAGGTCATACAGCACCATGGTATGCCCAGCCTGCCAACATGCCTGGTTCCACCGGCTCTGCATCCAGGTAGGAGCCCTCCCCTCACCCTGCAAGCACCGCAGGTGCTCAGCAGCACCAGGCCCGGATCACACTCATACTGCTTGTGTTTCTGCTGCAGGAACAGGCTCTGCGTGCAGGGATTTATTGCTTCCAGTGCCCCCTCTGCAGAGACCGGGTCGGGTTTATCAGAGACTTGGTCTTTATGGGGATCCGCATCCCATTCAGGTTGGTGTTTTCCAGTCAGCTCTTGAGATGTGAGGGCACAAGAGCTGTCCTTTGCAAGGGACTGCCCCGGCAGGCCTGGCCCTTTACAGCCATCAACATGGGCCTCAGCACCATTGGGAAGCTGGAACAGGAGACAGGGTGGAGGGGGAGGGATTCCATGGATTACTTTTAGTCCTGGGGCAGCGGGTGCTCATCACATTCCCTCCCTTCTCTGGCAGAAGACCAACATGGGAGGACGAGAACACCTATGCATCACTACTAGAGAGGCACAGGAGATGCGATGCCAGCGACTGCCATTACCCACAGGGCAGGGAGCAGGCAGAGGGAGAGGGGTGAGTTACTTCAGCAGCCCTCTGAGGGGCTCTGCGTGGGATCGCAGCCTCGCCACAGCCTGGGGCAGCACAGACTGAGCACCAGAGCCATGCCAGGCCCTCCCTGGCTCGGGTCGCTTTGTCCTCATGGCCGCAACCGCTTGGTTTCCCCAGGCCCTGGCAGCTGCTCCTCTGCAGCTCCTGTGCTGCGCAAGGCACTCATCGGTGCTGTTCCAACTTGAGTCAGAGCACAGCCAGCTGGGAATGCAACGCCTGTGCTGGAGAGGGCACCGGTAAGAGGCAAACAGCCGCGGGCTGCTGGGCTGGGGCCAGGCGAGGCCTGGCAGCGGCTGCTCGGAGCGGCCTTGCTCAAATCCCTCTAGCCCTGGACAGATGGGAGCCAGTTCCAGCCCATGGCTGAAATTCCACCCTGCTCACCTTCCTGCCTCCCCTTACAGCCTCCAGCACCAACTCAGGTCTTGCTGGATACGGCACTACCAGCCAGCGCGGACCGGGGCCATCCCGAGGCTCCGCAACACCAGAGAGGAGCAGCTCCAGCACCACCAGCCAGGCACCATCGGGGCCAGCTAACTGTTCCCGCGTGCCTGAGAGCAGCGGCCTGTCCAGGCAGCGTGGGACAGGCCAGAGGAGAATCCGCCCACGTCTACGCCGGGATGCAAATAGCTTTAATGAGCCCCGAGGACACTGTGGGGGCAGCCGTGCTGCAGCGCTGATTGCTGAGAGCAGCGCCCTAAACTCTGCCAGCCAGGGGACACCAGAGTCCTCAAGGAACTCCCCTGCTGTCGGCTACAACCTCCGGTGCAGACAGGGTGAGCGGGCCCGGGCACGAAGCCGCTCTCCATTGCAGCGCCGGGCCCCAAATTCTCCGAGCCAGCCCCGAACACGCCGTGGGAGCAGGCAGGCACCAACCCCAAGCGCTGAGAGCTGCACCAACAGATGCACCAGACCGGGAGCACTACAGTCCTCGAGGGTTTCCACAGCAGCTGATGGAAGCCGGTCTAGGCAGCCAGGGCGAGCCCGGACTCGAAGCTGCTCCCCTCTTGAACCTCGGGCTGCAGAGACCAACAGCCAGCCCCGAAGATGCCGCAGGAGCCGGTCCAGGCGGCGAGGGCCAGCCCAGGGGCGAAGCCGCTCCCGAGTTCCACGTCGGGCACAGAAAACCGACCGACGGCCCCACTGATGTTGCGGGAGCAGCCGTGTGCAAGCTCCACTTGCTGTGCAAAGTCATCAGAGACCATCACAATAAAACTGAGAGTTCCATCATGCCACTGTCAGTTTTGTTCTTCTCTGCCTTTCCCGAGGTGGGCAGCTGTAGGGGCTGCAACCGTGGGGACCCCTTCCCCCCAGCACCCAACCCACTCCTCCCTCCCTGCGGCCTGGTTCAGGCTGAGCTGGGTTCTGGTCCCGACTCCAGCGGGGCGCAACGTTTCCAACACGCAGCGGGGCGGAGGCCAGGCTGGCAGCTGCAGCCCCGTTCTGGGGATGTTTCTGTCATCTTGGGCACGTCACTGTGTTTGGGACATGCAGGCAGCCCTGGGGCTGCTGCTGGCTGTGGGGTGGGCCAGCACCTGTCTTTCCTCCTGCATTCGGGCTGTGCCTCAGGGTCTGCTGCCACTGCTCGTGACGTCCACCCTATATTTACTTGGTCCAATTGTCTAGAGAAATAGCCTGCTGGTCTCTTCCTGGATGCAGTGTGTTCTGCCAACTCTCCCAGTGCAAAGTGACGTCTTTCATGCCCATACAACTCAAAAGGCTTTTCCAGACTGGGCAGTCCTGGAGCAGGGGTAGACATCAGAGCTGCTCTCCATTGAATAAAGGCTGTTTGGCATTCTGGGTTCCAGCCCAAAATTTCTCCTTCTCCTTTCACAGCTTCACATTCCACAATCCTCGATCAATCCACAGTTTGGTATCCATAATCTACAGCATCCTGCTGTACGTAGGGAAGCTCGCATTTCCTGTTTTGACTTTGGCTCCGGTATTTGACGTACGGCCTGAGCTGGATTCTGGTCTCGACTCCAGCATGGACATGGTGATCTTAGAGGTCTTTACCAACCATGACTCTGATTCTAATGGCAGTGCAGGACTGCACCTGACAGCAGAATGCGGTGCTGAGGGGGCTCTGCTGATACACTCTGGTCCTGTCTTTGCCATTCTGAGGACTGCGTGCTGCTCCCGGTTCCCTGACTGCCCGTAACTGCCTCCAAAATCCCACAATCTCCCTCTCATTGCCTCTAAATTGCCCCAAACAACCCCTAAAATGCCACCGATTTGCCTCAGAAATTCCCCAAACCACCCCAGATTGCCTCAAACCGCCCCTGATCTCCCGCTGCCCATGGGACTCTGCCCACATCAGGAGGGGCCCCAAGACACCGCCCTGCAGCCAACCTCAGTGCCGGAACAAATCCCTGCCTGGCTGTCACCCATACCGCACACAATCATAAGTGAAATCAAAACATTTGCTTCTATTGCGGCCCCCAGGAAGTGTTCATGTTCCTCGTAGAGGAGAGCGCGGTAGGAGGGAACAGGATCTCCATGCCCCATATTCCCATGTTCCCCCCTACACCCCCATAGCCTCCTCCATGTTCCCTTGTGTGAGAAAAGCTCAGAATCCGTAATTTTTGATCAGGCAAAGATCTCGGTGAAGCAGCAAAGATTTTTTCTTCACTATTGTAATAGTGGGCACACTCCCCTTGTGGCAAGGAGAAAACGCGCACTTGATCAGCAAACCACTGCTCCTTACACAAGTCTCCTCTCGTGGCCGGTAATTACCCTCCTGTTCCTCCACTGGCCAAGTACTGCAGACTCACAATCTATGCGACACATTTGCTAATCCATTTTTCCACGTGAGGTTTATCACCGACCTGTGGTTTTTCAGATCATTTTGTACGTTTTGATGGACACAGGAAGGCAATACTTCTTGAAGCTGTCGTACCTGTCTCATCTTATTGCAGGCTTTCCTTACACTGCTCTGTACTTCTGTCCGGTTTCTCACTACTAACAGAAGCCGTGTCTAAGAAAGAAGAAACCCATAACAGGAAATGTCTTAAGACCCAGTTCCTGATTTATGACACTTATGACGCTGATGGCACTGTGCCTCACACCACATTTTTGCACCGTTCCTGCCTGGTCTGACAGGCAAGCTTTTCAACAAACTGTGGCACGTGTGATGTAGCCTGTCCCTCAGCAGCTGTCCCTGCATTAAATCCTGTTGGTGCGGTACTGCCTTCTGTGCACCGTTTTTGTAGCAGTCTGTACCTGCTGCTCTGTTACTCGTAGCAGCCCCACACAGACGGACTTGCTGACAAGCCAGGCACGACAGACAGCTGCTTAACTTTGTCTGTGTCTACAGCAGCTATTTCAAATGCCAATCGATACCCCTTGGGATCCTTGAAATACCCCCTTCTGAGGTAATTGATGCCAAGCATACAGGGAGCCCCCAGGCCAGTCACAATGGGGTGTTCTTGCCAGTCTTTACCAGTGAGGCTTATTTCAGCCTCCAACACAGGACATTTTTGGGAACCGCCAGTCGCCCCAGGAATATGAATTGATTCTGTCCCTTCGTGACTCGAGGGCATTAGAGTGCACTGCACGCCAGTGCCCACGAGCGCCTCGTATTTCTGTGGTTCTGATGTGCCACGCTATCGAATCCACTCAGTCCAGTATATTCTGTTGCCCCTTCCCCCTCCTGGCTGGGGACGGGGCCCTTATGTTTGTTAACTCTATCTTTCTTCTTCCTTGACTCACGATCAGTATCCTTAGAGTTTTTGCCGTGTCCTGCAGCAACTGGAGCACTCACCTTTTTGGAGGAGTTCACCTTGGTGGTTGGTCTGTCTGGTAATTCTTTTACCCATGCTCATTGTGCCATGACACACTGCGAGGCTGTGTGGTGGTTCCAGCACACTGTAGCTTCCCCATGGAAAGCACGTGGTAGCTCCCCCAAGCAGCTCAGTGCCAGAGCAGCCGGCAGCCGACATGGTGCTGGCAGTATGGGGGGAGCTGCAGGAGGATGAGCTACAGCCGGGCTTCTGGCAACAGGCAGACACCTTCTGCTGGCACACGGAGGAGGGGGTCTTTTTGTGGCGGATGAAGTCAGTACTCTTTCTCACTGTGTTTGCTGGTCGAACCCGATCTTCACACACGTTCAGTTATCTCCTTGCCTTGATTGCACAATATCTGCTTTCACAAAATACGCTGATTCTAGCAGAAGTTCCTTACCTGCCTGGCATAAGGAGTTCGATATTTCATTGTTAGCTCCTTGGTACAGAGGCACAGATTCTTCCTGTTTTCTAAACAAAGTACACAACTATTCGTCAGTGAGCATCACCAAGCTTCATATCACTGTAATTTGCATCACTATGAATACGTTCCGAGTGCACCATGGAGGTGCTGTGTGGGACTGCAGGTGAGAAGTGGTTGTAAAAGGTGTTGCGGTGCCGCTGTGCCACGTTGCTCTGTGGTTGCCCTGCCGTGCTGTGGCTGTACCGTGGAGGTGCTGCGCAGTGCTACCGGGACACGGTGGCTGCAACACAGCGCTGTGAGGCGTTCCCAGCACCACTCCATGTCCCACAGGAGCATGGGGCACTGATGCAGGAGTGCTTCGGGCATGAGGCAATGGTGCTGCAGCTGTAGACGGAGTGGCTGCAAGAGGAGAAGCACTGCATCCACCAGCCATGGGCCTCCTGGGTGCCCTGGTTGTGCTGTCTCTGCCCACAGTGGTTGGAGGAGACGCGGGAGCTCGGAACAGAACGAGCTGCATTTTTGCACCATTCCTGCCAAGTCTGGCAGGAAAGCTTTTCAGCATACTGCAGCACACGTGATGTGGACTTTCCCCCAGCAGCTGTCCCTGCACTAAATGCAATGGAACTGGGCTGGCATTAGCATTTCTGGGAAGTGCGGGGCTCCATTCCAGGAAAGCAAAGGAAGCGTAAGCAGAGGGTTGACTAGGGGAGCTGGATGTACTTCCATTTTCAGTTCTGGAGCGTCGGCCAACACAGGAAGGTCATAGAATCATAGAATGTCTTGGGTCGGAAGGGGTGTCAAAGAGCCGGCGGAGCCGCGGGGCTCCATGCGGGGAAAGCGCCGCTCCGCCGCCCCGCATCCCCGCCGCCGCCCGCCCCGTGCCTCGGGGACGCCGGGCGGTCAGGGGAAGGCGGCGCGGAGGCCGGTCCGTCCGCCGGAGTCGCCGTTCGGACGGGAGCCGGTTGGGAACGCGGTCATTTCTCTGGTTGTCGCTCTTGCGTTCATTGATTAAATGTTTAACGTTCGTTTCTTCTGCCCGCGGTCGTTTCTGCAGCTCCAGGAACCCACCGCGTCCAGTGCCCACCGCTGGGGAAGGACGGGGCGGCGCAAACGGCCGTGTCGTAGGACTGCGACCGCCGGCCCCGTTCCTCCCCCGCTTCCCCTCCCCTCCTCAGCACTGCGTGGGAAACGATTGGGGTGGGATTCTGGGAGAGCTGGGGCGGCTCAGCCTGCAGAAGAGGAGGCGCGGGGGGATCCCGGGCACGGCCATCAGTCCCTGCAGGGAGGTGCGGAGAGCACGGAGCCGGGCTGCGCCCGGCGGTGCCCAGCAGCAGGACCGGAGGCTCACGCTGCGGCACAGCGCGTTCCCCGCAGAGCTGCCACTGCCGCGCTGCTTCCCCCTGCTTGCGCTAGGAGGCTGCACAGCCCGTGCAGGCGGTGCGCACCCAGAGGTGCCCGCACGTCCCACGCAGCACATCCAGCAGCTGGGGGACGTTGGGGTGGTTGCAGCGAGACGAGAGCTGCAGCTCCTCCGGCTCAGGTTTCCCTGTATGTCACCACTGAGCCCCCAGCTCGGGTCAGCGCCGTTGGATATTTTCGCCGATGATCACGGTGCAGGAGATGAGTGCATCCTCGTGAAATCCAACGGGCATCCTAAGGCACGAGGTGCTGCTGGCACTCCTGAGGTTTTTAAGGGGCAGCGGGGAAAACTGGGGGGCTCAGGGCAGTAGCTGGGGGCTCTTGAAGGGACTTTGAGGTGCTGTGGGTTCAGAATTGCGTTTTTTCCTCATGTTTCACACAGCAGGTGGCAGTTTGGCTCAGCACCTCGAGGTGGCAGCAGGACCCCCAGCAACAGAAACGTCCGCTGCCCAGAGCCCCGTGTCTGGCTGTGGGAAAGATGGAGGGTGGAATAAACGTAGAACGTGCACAGGAAGTTACCACATCAAATTGAGAGTTGGCACCAAGCTTCCCCCAGCAGCTCTTTGCAGGCAGCTCAGTCATCGTGTTTTATTCTCTGCTCACCTCGGTCCCAAAGCATTATCCACATCTGCCAGGAGGTGTTACCTCTGACCTTGTCACTGGGCAGTGCTTCAGGAGCACCAAGTTGCCCCTGTGGCAACTCCTCATTCACATCGCTGCGTTAGCACTCAAATGTTATTCTCATTAAACTACTTTCTCTCTTTCCTCCTCCAAGTAAAGTATTTCTCAGACTAGAGAAATAGAAGGCTGAATCTGGGACAGCCACCGTCTGTAGAATAGTCTGGCACAAGGAAA